AATTCTTAAGGGGGTGGGAATACCAGACCACCTTACCTGCCTCCTGAGAAATCTGTATATGCAGGTTAAGAAGCAACAGTTAGAACCAGACATGGAACAACAGACTGGTTCCAAATCAGGAAAGGAGTATGTCAAGGCTGTATATTATCACCCTGCTTATTTAACTTATATGCAGAGTACATCATGAGAAATATTTGACTGGATGAAGCAAGAGCTGGAATCAAGATTGCCGGGAGAAATATCAATAACCTCAGAAACGCAGATGATACCACCCTTATGGCAGAAAGCAAAGAAAAACTAAAGAGCCTCTTGATGAAAGTGAAAGAGGAGAGTGATACAGTTGACTTAAAACTCAACAATCAGAAAACTAAGATCATGGCATCTGGTCCCATCACTTCATGGCAAATAGATGGGGAAACAATGGAAACAATGACAGACTTTATTTTTCTGGGCTCCAAAAATCACTGCAGATGGTGACTGCAGCCATAAAATTAAAAGACGCTTGCTCCCTGGAAGAAAAGCTATGACAAACCTAGACAGCATATTAAAAAGCAGGGACATTACTTTGCCAACAAAGGTGCATCTAGTCAAAGCTATGGTTGTTCCAGTAGTTATGTATGGATGTGAGAGCTGGACTATAAAGAAAACTGAGCGCTGAAGAATTGATGCTTTTGAACTGTGGTGTTAGAGAAGACTCCTGAGAGTCCCTTCGACAGCAAGGAGATCCAACCAGTCCATCCCAAAGCAAATCAGTCCTGAATATTCACTGTAAGGACTGATGCTGAAGCTGAAACTCCAATACTTTGGCCACCTGATGCAAAGAACTGACTCATTGGAAAGACCCTGATGCTGGGAAAGACTGAAAGTGGGAGAAGGGGATGACAGAGAATGAGATGGTTGGATGGCATCACCAACTCAATGGACATGAGTTTGAATAAACTCTGGGAGTTGGTGAAGGACAGGGAGACCTGGCGTGCTGCAGTTCATGGGGTCGAAGAGCCAGACACGACTGAGCGACTGAACTGAAGAATCTTTTAGAAGAGAATAAAGTAATATTAAGTCTTAAAATTATCCTTAGATTCAGTAACAATTTTATAAATTTCTTCTTTGTAAATTTCTTTTATTTGATTAAATAATAACTGTACAAAGGTGTTTAAAGTGAAAGTGTTAGTTGCTCAGTCATGTCTCATTGTTTGCGACCCCATAGACTGTAGCTCTCCAAGCTCCCCTGTCCATGGGATTGTCCAGGCAACAGTACTGGGCTAGGTAGCCATTCTCTTCTCCAAGGGATCTTCCCAACCTAGGGATTGAACGCAGGTCTCCCACACCACAGGCAGATTCTTTACTATCTGAACCAGCAGGGAAGCTCCACAAACATGTTTACTACATTGCACATAATAAAGAGATCCCTGGGACCACCTATTAGTTTAGTTAAAAAACTAATAGCTAAGTTTTAGTATATCAGCTAAGGCCTTGTATATCAATCCAACTAATTTTATGGCCATTAAACATATTATTATGAAGATCATTAGAAAGTATGAAAAATATAATTATGGATAAATTAAATAAATACAATATTTATGTCACTTTTGGACACATTTATATGAAACTTAATATTTATGTGGAAAGTCCTACAAAAATGAAAACAATTATTTGAAAGGCAAAATTATAGATGATTTTTTGTCTTTAAAATAACTAACCTTAGTAAATAGATGTGCCTTTTCAAGATGCAATATAAAATGAAAACATCATTTAGACCTTAGATTTCCCATATATGAAATCAAAGATTAGATTATATATTTCTATGGTTATTCTGATTCTATACATTGAGAAACTGAAGGGAAAACTCACTAAAAATGATACATTTTGAACCAATATTCCTGAAAAGTAAAGTAACACAGACTTCAAGAAAAAATTACAAATGATCAGATGTTGAACTTCTCTGAAACTATCAACAGCAGGGACTGATTGGTTTTGTTAATCAAGCACTGTAACAATCCATTCCTGAATTTGGTGATAATAACAAAAACAACAAAATCAATATATCAGTTTTTAAAAGGTAAATGGCAATTTCCTGCCCAGGTGATCTCCTCACTTTGTTAAATTTCTGATCCAGATGACTCCACAGAATATACTCACTACTTAATCTTACTGGATTGAGTCTAACACGGCTAAACACAACTTTCCACAGATGATTTCCCTCTTCCTTTGCTGAGCTATTTGCCACTTTTGCAACCTGGAGTCATAAATCTTTCCAATCCAAAGACAGTTCTCCTGGAGAATGTTACCTAGCTGATCTCTCACAGGTTTAAAATGCAGCTTCAGTGTATCAGTCAGATAAAAGGAGTCTGACTCTTCCCTTTAAAAACCAACTCTTCTTGTTGGTCATGATGTGGGTCCAATAGGATAGGGGCCTGGATAGAGTCAATTGTTTCCAGAGACAATAAAGCACTTTGTGGGATTGCCTTTCAATTGTTATCTGTTGTGTGTGTATGTCCTCAGTTGCTCAGTTTTGTCTGATTCTTTGCAACCCCATGGCCTATAGTCCACTAGGCTCCTCTGTCCATGGAATTTTTCAGGCAAGAATATACAAGCAGATTGCCATTTCCTCCTCCAGGGGATCTTCCCAACCCAGGGACTCAATCCATGTCTCCTGCATTGGCAGGCAGATTCTTTACCACTGCACCACCTGGGAAGCTTGAGTAATGCCTAAAAGTAGCAAGCCCCCTAGAGTTCAGAGATCCACACTGAATTCTGATGGTGAAAACTGGTCTATTGCTTCATTTGGAAAAATGGGTTTTTCTGTTCCTGTATAGTTTCTTTCTGGCATACAAAAAAAAAAAAAGCACTGTACAAGTTATCTCTGAAGTGATTTAATGTAGAGTTCTGCTTTAAACCGAAGTGTACAAAACAGAGTGAGATGTAAACATTTAATTTATGATGCTCTCCAAGTTGTGGTGTCACCAGTTAGACATGGGGAATTAAAAATGAGAATATTTATTTATGTCCAGGGTCATATTTGTAAAAGTGAATGATCCAGCTCCTGCAGGAAAGTATTTAAGTATTTGTGGGACTATAAATATTATCCATAAAAAAAAGAATCTTGAAATGTGTGTTAATGTACAATAATGGTTAAATACATTTCCTTTTCACACATGTCTTTCTAAACTTGCCATGTATTTCTTGCCATAACAAAGTACCACACAGACTATGTGACTAAAAGAACAGACATTACTTTTCTCAGTTTTGGAGACTAGAAGTTCAAGATCAGGGCGTCAGCACGTTTGGTTTCTTTTGAGACCTCTCTCCTCGGCGTGCAGACGGTCACCTTCATGTAGACCCACACATGATATTTATTCTGTGGGCATGCACTCCTATTTTTTTTTTGTTTGTATGCCCTAATCTCTTCTTATAAGGATACTAGTTAGATTGCATTAGGGCCTCCCTGGAATCCTAGGACCCCCACACCCACTGATTATAAATGTTTTCTACTATCAATGACCATGTGACACATTCACAAACACTTTTGATGAAAAGCTAAATAAAAATCGTATTCTACTTGATATGCTATGTAATAAAAACACCATATGCCTGGAGACAACTGCTTTAAGGCAAGAGTTCAGATAGTGAAAGCAGTCTCATATTTAAAAGGTACCTAAAAGATATTCCTTAGTATCATGAGTCAGATAAAAGAGAAATTATAACTGTTGACATATCAAACAACAGTTTTTTTGGACAGCTTTTCTGAGGAATTACTTAAAGAAAAATGGAATCTGTATGTAAGTTCAATTTTGGAAAATAATGCATTTACTCTTCAAACTTTTTATGGGATTCCTATGAGAACTTCAAATGTTAAAATAACCTAATTGCATATTTTAAAAATATGTTCAACAGCAAATTAGATTCTCAAGTCCATCAGGATATAAGATAACAAATGTAATTATACTGGACATATCCCCTAAGTTTTAAGCACAGTAAAAGCCTTTCTGGATTATTTGGTTATTTTACTAATAACAACATGAAAGGTAAGGCACTTGAGCTGGGATCAGCAGAGCACCAGACAGAGGCCATCCTGTGGTTAGACCCAGGGAAAAGATGTGGAGATGATATACTGAGGGCCACACACGCCCCAATAGCACTCCCAACTCCCTTGCAATGCTACACCCAGTCAGCTGTCATCACCAAAGTCTGTGTAGGGACTGGCACATGGGAGTCATGCAAAACCACAAACCTTATTATCTTAATAATGAATTTCATGACCAAATCCTATTCATGGAAGTTAAAAAATGTTTTCAGAATTGGGTCAGTCTTGGCTGTGAGAGTAATTTGAGGAACTAAAGAAAATATCAACAGTTTTGGTAAGGCCCTATCTACCTAGAGAATAGAATTAGAATACTATTGTATGATAGTTTATTTATTATGGCTAACAGTAGTAAAAATTTGAACTAACAATAGGTCTAGCTCATTTTTATATTTCCATAACACAATAAAAAAAAGAAAATGATTAAAGGAGATAAAACTAAGCACAGAAAGTCACATATTCCATCATAAATATGTCAAATTACCAAATAAGTAATTTACATGACTCTTACCAATACGAGAACAACAATGACTTGCCTTACATGGTTTATCTGTTTTAATCCTGATAGCATACCTTGCAGAGAAAGTGTCATTGGGTAGGTCTGAAAAAAACTTTCCAGGTTCATTTATTTCTATATTGTTTTAAAATGATAATGTTCCAAAGCAGCTAAATGTACTTGATGAGATAAATGCATGTGTGGGGCTTAGTATCAAGCAACAGTCTATCTGGCATCAGTAATCAAACAATTACAAAATGGAAAGCACATCCTGTACAAGCTGACAGACCCATTAAATCAGGAGAGCTGTCGGCAGACGTACTGACACTGCAAGAATTACCAGAAAGCATTCATTTCAGCATTAATAAAATGGCAGTAAATAGATAACAGCTGCCAGATGAACGAAGAAATAAGGTTACTGGCCTTGTTAAGCTCACGTCTGATTTTCTCAGGCACAAACTGGTCGAGGTAGCGTCTGAAGTGAAGGGCGTCAATGGCGACGATTTCAGTGCTGCGCCTCTGCCAGTCGTCCCTGGGGCAGGGCAGATGGGGGAGAGGAGGAATGGGGAAAGGCACTCACCAAACAACAACCCCCACCAGGGCAGGTTTCGGAGACTTTGGCGGGGTTAATACGTTACAAACAAACAAACCAATGGCTTTATATCTCAGCAAATCAAGAAGTCCAAGGCACATGTATTGTGGAGTACAAAGCATTAAGCAGTAAAATGAAAAGATAGAACATACTGTAAACATACATCATTAACAGTGAGTCTTCAAGGTTAAAAAGATTTGGTGGGCAAACCAAAAGGATTTAGTTCTTTGTTTTCTTCCCAACACTAAAGACCCAGCCTTTGTATCTGGACAAGAGCTCTTTCCTCTGTTCTGGAAGAACTGCTCTAAGTCACTGAGTTTGTAACATCGCCCTATATTGTCCAAAAACTAGTCCCAAGGAGTCAAGTGCTGTGGGAAAAAAAAGTATAACAGTGTAACAATTCAATACAATATTCTACCTGCTACACTTAACTGCTGGGTGCACAAAATTATTTTTAAAAAGGCAAAGAAATCAAATCAAACAATAACAATTTGCCTGTGGAGACAGGAAAAGTTGGATGAGATGGTGATTTTGGAAACATGAAATTCTATACATTCATCTCTTTATAAACATGCATATGATGATATTCCCATCAATGCTTCAAACTGAAGAATAGCAACAGAAGCCTTCGTGCTAGTCTGTAAATAATAATAAAGAATTAAAAATCCACCTAAGTAACTGTTGCAGCCATATGTTTCATCCAAAACAAAGAAAGACTAGCAACTGGATTTGAGATATTACAAAGAATAAGGCTGTATGGCTACAAGGGTGGTGGCTGATTCTTTCTGCCACAGTGGCTCTTCCCACTGAAACACACATACATTTGCCACACACATGTTTTCAATAAAAATTTGCCTCTGGGGAAGCAAAAATGTCAAAGTGTAAAAATGTATTTCAATAAGAAACAAGAGACAACAGCCGCAAAGTTCACCACAGGTTCTGCTAGCAACTGTTTTGTGGTATTAGGCAAATTATCCCAACATAGGCTTCCCCCACTTACTGAATCTCACAGAAGTTAAGGACAACTAAAAAAGCTGTTTAAAGGCTTTAAGTTGTAATTAGAATCCACTCGAAATAAGTTTGTTGTTGGAAGTTAACCTTCACTGGATGCTTACAATTAGCAGCAGACACCTGTAGAGAGTTGTGCCTTTCCTGGTCTTGGTTTAGATATTTGGCTTTTCTTTCTCTGTTCTTCTGAGTATATAGAGATGATGAATCTGTTTTAACTACTAGTGAACCTGTACTATTGAATTTAAGAAGAAAATTATATTTCTGAAGTAAGAGTAGATGGAAGACAGAATGTACCAGGGTCAAGCCCACATTCCTTAGCTTTTGGCCATGTGATACTAAAGTAGAAATGAACTCACCTTTCACTCCTATCTTCATGGCTCCGGGCCCAACGGTATGTTTCGGCATAGCCTGTGTATTCACTGTACTGTTCAGTACCTGAAACAAATAATCTGCCACTATTATTTTTCAGAAAAAATATTTCTTAAAAACTACACCTTCTAAAGGGTCTCTGTTAAGAAACACACAAACAAGCAGATAAAAAAAAGCATCTGCCTACCATGTAGGAGACCTGGGTTCAATCCCTGAGTTGGGAAGATCTCCTGGAGAAGGAAATGGCAACCCACTCCAGTATTCTTGCCTGGAAAATCCCATAGATGGAGGAACCTGGTAGGCTACAGTTCATGGGGTCGCAAAGAGTCGGACATGACTGAGCATGTTCATTTCAGTCTTAATGACTTATTATTTCCCATGAAGAAAAATATTATGCTTCCAGAAGCAACCACAATATTTAATATACAGTGAATGAATGGTCCAATCAACAAAGAAAATAAAATAGTCTGTCATATTCATTTTTTATTTTATGAGTACATAAACATAGTGTTTTATAAAAGTCAACTGTCTTCAGTGTCAGTAATCTGATGGTAATATTCAATTTGCATTGTTGAGAAAATAAATTTTATATAAAAACATTCCCTAAGAAAATTATCAATAAGATTAAATTTAGGATTTGCCTATCAATAGGCAAAATACTTCAAAGGGCTTTGTAAAACCAGCATATTATGCATGAGAAGACAGGGAGGGAGAAAAGCATAATTAACATCTGATAAGAACAGGTACCAAGCTTGGCATTTAACACAGACTTCTAATTCATGGGACCTGAACATATAAAAAAGAATGGTGTCAACAGTGTTCTACTATTTAACTAAATAAGCTCATTCCAACTTCTATGGTCAACTCAATAACTGCTTGATAAGAATCTACAAAACAGTAAAATTAAAAGCTGAAAACCTTAAGCAAGACAATACTTTTCATGTATAAAAAAGAAGAGAAACAAGACAACATTGACAACTAAGATTAATGGTATTTTTAGTACAGTTGATTTTTTTTTTCCTTTCTCCATTCAATATTTTTTCCCCTGTGAGAAAGTATCTTTTTATTGTTAGAATTTAAGTCAGTCACACATTATTGCAAACATCTGGAACAGAGAAGAAAACATTTCAATTCTATTTCAAAAATGTCTCCAAGACCAAGCAACAGGATTCCAGTCATATGAATAGCATAAAAGTGCAATGGAGAAAGGCTTAAAAACACTTACATTATTTAAGGTGGTCAGAGTATAATAACATTTCACTTCATGTGATGAATGTACTAATTCTCTAGATTTATCCTAGTTCGGGATCACAGATTTTTCATTTGACAACTGTTTTGGTATTTTTCACCTTTACACAATCCATACAAGGGTTTTGGAGAAATGCAACATTCAACTCAAATGATAAAATGACCACATATAAAAGAGCTCCAGAGACAGAAGACAAAAGGTAAAAGTGGTGTTGGTGCCATAGCCTTGCAATTCTTGTATTTCTTTATCGTTACTGTTGTTGTTTAGTCGTTAAGTTGTGTGTGACTCTTTTGTGACCCCATGGACTGTAGCCCACCAGGCTTCTCTGTCCATGAGATTTCCCAGGCAAGAATACTGGAGTGGGTTGCCATTTCCTTCTCCTACAGTTGATTCTTGAACAACGTGAGTTTGAACTGCATGGGTGCCCTTACACTGTAAATTTTTTTCCAATGGTAAATGTTGCAGTACTACACAATCTGCAGTTGACTGAATCCATAGATGTGGTCCCCATAAGTGAAGGAAACATGAATTCGAAGGGCTAACTTGTAAGTTATCTACGCACATAAGTTGTATGTGGATTTTATGGTCCTATTTTTCTCTTCAAAAGATACACTTCAGTGGCAAAGTGAAAGTTGCTCAGTTGTATCTAACTCTTTGTGACCCCATGGACTATACAGTCCATGGAATTCTCCAGGTCAGAATACTGCAGTGGGTTCTCATGCCCTCCTCCAGGGGATCTTCCCAACCCAGGGATTGGACCCAGGTCTCTTGCATTGCAGGCAGATTCTTTACCAGCTGAGCCTCAAGGGAAGCCCAAGAATACTGGAGTGTATAGCCTATCCCTTCTTGAGAGGATCTTCCCGACTCAGGAGTCAAACTGGGGTCTCCTGCACTGCAGGTGGATTCTTTACCAACTGAGCTATCAGGGAAGCCCATACTTCAGTGGGGTTCCTACCAAAATGAATAAACTGAATCTAGTTAAGAAAAAACACTGGGAAACCCCCAAAAAGAGATATTCTACCAAGTAACTGGCTTATATATTTTAAAAATATCAAGATGAACTAACACAAGGTTGAGAAACTGTCCCAGTTTAAAGAATGTGTGACAAGTGTACTCAAAGAAAAGATACATGCACCCTTACGTTCACAGCAGCACTGTTTACAATAGCCAAGACATGGATACAGCCTAAATGTTCACTGATAGATGAATTGATAAAAGAAGATGTCATACACACACACACACACACACAATGAAATATTACTTAGCCATCAATAAGAATGAAATAATGTCACTTGCAGTAACATGAATGGACCTAGAGATTATCATACTAAGCAAAGTCAGTCAGAAAAGAAAGACAAACACCACATGATATCACTTATATATGGAATATAAAATACTACACAAATGAACATGTTTACAAAACATAAACAGACTCAGACACAGACAACAGGCTGTGGCTGCCAAGGGGAAGTGGGAGTAGGGGTGAGAAGGACTGGAAGTTTGGGAACAGGAAAGGAAAATTATTATATAAAGTATGGATAAACAACAAGGTCCTACTGTAGGGAACTATATTCAATATCCTGTGACAAACCATAATGGAAAAGAATATGAAAAAAACTATATACATAGATGTATAACTTAGTCACTGTGCCGTACAAAGGAAATTAACACAATGTTAAAACTATTCTTCAATAAAATTTTTTTTTAAAGTCAAATCTTCCCAAATTGATCTGTAGATTCAAAACAATCTTAATTAAAATTCTAGGACTTCCCTGGTGGTGCAGTGGGTAAGAATCCGCCTGCCAATACAGAGGACACAGGTTTGGTCCCTGGTCTAAGAAGATTTCCACAGGCTGCAGAGCAACTAAGCCGGTGAGTCGCAACTACTGAAGCCTGTGTGCCTGGAACCCGTGCTCCACAAAGAGAGAAGCTCCCACAGTGAGAAGCCCAGGCACCACAACTGAAGGGAAGCCCCCGCTCACTACAACTAGAGAAAGCATGCACAAAGCAACGAACACCCAGCGCAGCCAAAATAAGTAAAATTATTTTTAAAAATCCTAAGAAGCTTTTTTGTACATAAATTCAACAAAGCTCTGAAGAAGAACAAAGTTGGAGGGCTCACACTGATTTCATGAATTATTATAAAACTACAGTAATCAAATCAGAAAGAATTTTTTAAAAAAAACCCTCCAAAACAAAACCAAACCCCAAAACCTGAATTAATAAACTGGACTTCAAAATTAGAAACTTCTGTTTTTCAAAAGTCATGGAAGATAATTGAAAAGATTTATTTCATGTACCTCATAAAAGACTTACTAAAATATATAAAGCACTTCCAAAACTCAAGAGTAAAAAAACAACTACACCAGTGGCTGATTCATGTTGATGTATGGCAAAAACCACCACAATATTGTAAAGTAATCAGCCTCCAATTAAAATAAAGAAATTAATTTAAAAGAAAAAAAAACAATTAAAACACAGGCAAAAAGATGACTTCATGTATGTAGCCATATGTCAAAACTTACCTAATTGTACACTTTAAATATATATAATTTGTTATATTCCAATTATACCTTAATAAAACCATTAAAAATGTAACCTGTCTTCTTTACTAGACTGACAGCTTCTCAAGCTGACAGCTTCTAATGTGCCTACATTAGCATCTTGTAATACAAGAAGATCTTATAATGGAAATATTCCCTTGGAGGAGGGCATAGCAACCCACTCTAGTATTCTTGCCTGGAGAATCCCACGGACAGAGGAGCTTGGTGGGCTACAGTCCCTGGGGTCTCAAAGAGTCGGACAGGACTGAAGTAACTTACCATGCACGCATGCACGCACAATGTAAGAATACAGAAGCAGATGAATAAGTACTTGCTGCATAAATATAATTAACGAGCAAAACAGGAAGTACACTGGGGTTAAAATTAATCCAGAAATACTTAATCTGGACTAAGTATTATGTAATTGACATATATTTAAAAATTCATTTACAAAGAGCATGGCATGGGAAGAACCATGAGGAATCACCCAAAGTGAATCCTTAAGTAGCCTAATCTCACTGGACTTCATTTCAACATCTAAACATCAAGCCTGTCAATAATTTTTATATTGTTTACCTCATAGAACTGCTTGGAAAACCAAATAAATTTAAAACACTTCAATACCTTCAGTTGGTATTTGGTGTCATCAGACAACTTTGTAAGACAGTAGAGAAACCAAGGGATTCCCTGGTGGCTTAGCTGGTAGAGAACCTGCCTGCCAATGCGGAAGACGTAAGAGACACGGGTTGGATCCCTGGATTGGGAAGATCCCCCAGAGAAGGAAACGGTAACCTGCTCCAGTATTCTTGCCTAGAAAATTCTATGGACAGAGAAGCCTAGCAGGCTACAGTCCATGGAGTCACAGAGTTGGACACGACTGAGCACACAGATATACATGCTAGAGAAACCAAAGACATCTGACTCCATTTATGTAAGGCTGAAAAGAAACCTGGTCTATTGGCATGATTGGAAATAAGGAGACAGGAACAATCTTCTTCTGTTTTTTGCCCTGCACTGGACAAACCTGTTTATTATTCTTAGCAATAATAATAATAATAATGCCTACTTTGATCTCTTAATTATAGAAAATAAACACCTATCTTTTGAAAAATGGTTGAAAAATATAAAATACCAATGATCAGTTTCTATTCCATTTTAGAATGGTTTCTGTCTTCTTTCCTAAGAGAAACAAAGTTAGGTTTATGAAATCAAAAATGTACATACAGAAGCTTTTGCTCTCAACAAATTAAATCTTGAGTTTTCTAAGTAAACAT